GAAATATTTCATCATCACTACTGCCAATATTTAGGCACACATCTTTGATTTAGGCTAAGGTCTAGGTGGGCAACATTAAACTACTTTAAGTTGCTGAAGTAGATCCTGAAAGCCAAAGAGCACCAGAATGCAGCAGTATTGTTTAAACGTGTCACATCCTCCCTACAAGAGCTCTGTGTCAAAAAGGACTGGAAGATCACACAGAAGCTCATTTACCTGATCTGTGACATCTGGGAACTGTCAGCTTCTTTCAGAGATGCAGCAACACGAAGAACACCTAAAAAGCAATATGATATTTATATTGGGAAAAGGCTGTTTTATTCAAGAATGGGATCAGCTAGCTACAGTTGAGACAGTTTCCAAATCTGAAAAAAAATGACTCTCAGATATGGTTTTCATGAGAGCCTCAGAACATGCAGCCTCCATCCTCAGTCTAATTGTACTTGTATGTGTTCCTTCTTCTAAAGGTCTGCACGCTTGGAAACAATAACAGACTTTAACAGTTGCTGTAGCAGAAGTTGTGGTCACCATCTTTCTCATCACACCATCGTTCACTAGGATTACTTGTACTCATACATCGATTAAAGGCCTCTTAATTTTACATTTAAATTCTTGCTTTAAATAGGGCCAAACCTTGGATCTCTCAAACATTTCCCATCCGAGTTATGGCATTGCACACTATTCTCTGGTTTTACCAAACCTGGTATTTTTGGCATTATTTTGTCTCTGCACCCCTATAGCTTTAATTTGTGCTATAATCCTAAATCAAATGAGACTGATCACTGCTGCTTATTTCCCTCCCTTATCTTTCCAACTTCAGTTATGTTGTTTGTGTCACTCTATTTACAGCAACTCTGAAATGACTCTTCCCAGTCTACTCTTTGGTAGTGGATAATACCAGACTGCAGTTCAATGTGTTGTGTTTACATCCCTAAACATACCCTACTTTCTAATTTTACAAAGTACTTCAATGCCTTGCCTATTTTTGCAGTCCATTTTTATTGCATTTTTGATAGCCTCCCTTGAATGCATTTTGTGATATGATGGCATGTGCCATGGTGCCCTCTTTATTTATAGGTCTGGTTTTTTCTTATGATCAACGTTATAAATGCATGTATTGACAGTGGACATTGAGCTAGATAGATTGAAAACTAGGAAATCCAAACCAAAATAAACTAAGAACTTAAGAATACTGTAAAGTGTCATTATGACTGACAAAAAATTGTTTACATCACTTAAATACACAGAAAAAAAGCTCAAAACTTCCACCTTATTAGTAGTTTTAGATACATACATAAGTATAGCACATCTTCTCTTACCTCGCTTGAAAAAGAAAAAAAATCAAGAGAAAAGGACAAAATGGAAAAATTCACATCCATGTGTAAGCACTGATATTGTATTAAGGCCTATTGTTTCCTACAACAGGCAGTTATCACCTGTAGTTCATAATACACAGCTGAAATGTGTATTATATTTGATTGCATGCATACAAGCCACAAGACAAACTAAGTAACATCAGACATGCATATAAAACTGACAAAAAAATAGACAAGGTGCCCATTTCCCCCCTTTTTTCTTTTATCACATTCAATTTATGGTACCACCAGCTGCAGTTCTAACAATTGTTCCAGAAGACCATTAAGGAAAAATCATATTTCTATTACTCTTAATTAAAAGAGTCTGAAGTCATTTCTGGACAGATAAAACAAAACAGGAGTTTGTTTTCAAACATACTGGGAGATTCAAGGGACAAACATGACACTGAGGCAATGTCTGGCACTTGACATTTTAGAATGTATACACAAATGGATAACCTGATCCAAAACACTATAAAGTCAAAGGACAGGTGCTTGCTAACTTTAACAATTTCCAATATTTTGGAAATATTGGAATTAGAAATATTGGAATATTCCAATACTGGATATTTTAACAATATCTAATAATTTTAACAATATCCAATGCTTCCAATTTAAAGCTTTTTCACCATGACTGGGCCTAAATCTATTGCTAATCAAACTACATGTGAAAGTGAAAGCTCTCCTTAATTCATGGGGCAAAAATTGGTCTTGCACATTACTTGAGCTCACTTAAATCCTCAATCCTACATTTAATGGAAGGAGACGTGGCAAGGAGGTAATTTTATGTTTAGTTAGAAGTGATGTTCTTCAGATCAGACAGTAAAATTAAATGCATCCATTTATTGGGTAAAAATTAAGTCTTCTGTAGTACTTCAACAAAGCTACAGATCCCTCAGTAAATGTGTCTCTCCTTTCTACAACCTTGCCATGAAAGGTTTGGCTGACTCATCAACAAACAAACTCAATAGCTTGAGACATCTATGACTAGGATGAACACTGGGGGGAAAATAATGGCACAAACACCCCTGCAAAACCAGGGAAATGGAGAAGGTATCATTTTGTAATGAGTCTCTCATTGCAGATCACTCAATTTTTACTGGCACTTCACCACCTCAGAAGCGAGGAATAACTAGAAACAGTTGGAGATGAATGTTCCATTTCAGCAGGAGTGCAAACTTGTTCAACAGAATTTGACTTGTTTCATTACACAGATTAATAATTGCTCTTTTCTGCAATGTGTACACAGGATTTGTATTAAGCAAGTGCCTGTTTATTTCACATTGTTCTACCAAAACTACTAAATTCACTGAAGCTATTCCTAACCTAGTGGCTTCAAGACACACAACTTCATCTACTACTGGTTGCCCTTCTCTTTCCTTTGTTGCAGTCCTCATTGCAGTGCATTTAGTTATCAAACAGAAGACTTACTTCTCCTTAATTCAAAATCTGAGCCATTTTAACAAAATTACATTCTTCGGCTGCTGTAAATGGGAAGAACCATATAATCTGTTGTTATATCAACCACTGTTTTCCTTATTCCTACAGTAGATTTGCTGTCCCCTATGGTAAATATACAATAAAAAACCTACTTCTAAGTTAACTACTAAATTATGTATTATAGCTCTTGTCATTCAAAGCATATAATACACTGAGCACTATAATAACTATCTCTACTAAATAACATGGAACTACGGCAGGCAAACAGAAGTAAAGCAAAAATTACTGGGTCCTAGCTAGAACTGTTTGTTGTACCTCCATTATTCAATGTATTATTCATTCTTAACAGGAAATTCCAAAAGAAAAAACCTTCTACAAATTACACTTATAATTAGTTCCTAAATATTCCCATTAAAAATAACAGCCAAATTAATTAGAAGAGAAATCATACATATTTGTCTTATTAAACTCTAGCACATCTGAGCCGAATGTACAGATATATTCTAGGTTCAATAATGAGTGGCAGTATTAAAAGAGGACAAATAGTACAAAACTGAAAAAAAAAAGTGGCATTTTTTATGGGAAAATTAGTGCCAGTCAGATTGAAGCAAGGAATGCATGAGCAATATAGTCCTTGAAGTATATTCCTAATTGGCTTATTATTCCTACAAGAAACTATACATTTTAGACCCTGAGTTCAAAATAGGACTAAGACCATGCCAAATTTTATCCCAACCTTCTTTTAAACTGCAAAAAAGCTTTATTATTTAGATATTCTAGAATTATTAGCTTTGTGGTAGAAAAATACCCAACAGCAGTAAACAATTATGCAGATGCACTTGTACTGTGCAAGTTAAAGGTTTATTATGCTTTCAGATTAATAAAATAATGCCCCTGTATAGAGCCAGCCAATTCCTTTAAAAGTTTGCATTTCACATTTAATCTAGTCCTATAATTTAATCGTGATAGTCTTATGCATTATACTAGGGTTGAAAAAGTGTGTAATTATCTGAAAGCAAGATTTTTATGCATGAGATAATTACAGTGCTACTGACTAGCCCCACAGTACAGACAAGAAGAGATGTACCAATTCATATTTTGTTATTGTTTTATTTTACACAACTCTTTCATATTCCTGGGTAAATATAAAAGATGATACAGACTATCACATTTATATGAATTTAGACCTTGAATACTTGCCATCTGTGAGGAGAGCACACTTTGAATTTGAGAAAAATTTGTGGATGTTATTTTCATTCTTCAACAAGAAATGAAGTACAAGTCTCTTAAAGAACAAAGGTTTGAGTCATAAAATTTTTTAAGAAATGAAAACTGAGCATAGTTAAGTTTACAGATCCCAAGATTATATGCATGCTATTGGTGAACCATGAATGCGATTTTTCTATCATTTGACCTTAAAAACCTTTCTCCTTGTGTTCTTCCACTCATGAAACACTAGAACAAAAACATGTACTAAGAGTAAAGGCAGGACATAACTTCAGTGTGGAGGAGTGGAAGCAGCCTTGAGGCAAGGACGCCACTCAGTATTACTGCTGCTTAATCCTTGTAGGTAGGGTTACTGAAAAAAATTAGTAATAAAAAAGGGAATTTCCATTAAGCAAAGCCAGTGTTTTTAATACCTAGTGGAAACAAACAAAAAGGCATTGTACCTTCACGTTCTCAAACTGTGAGGAAGAAAATTGAAGTGATGTATATTCAGAAGAAAGCATGTCAGGAAATTAAATCTAGCTTTTATCTCACGGTTCCTTTTTTTCTTCTCTCGTTTTAACCCAGACATGGTCTCTGTTCACACAACTTTACCCATCTCTGGCACCTACACAGACCAGCTTTTACTTTGAATTTGTGGGGACAAGAGGATGGAGGCCAAGTTACTCAGGCATGAACACTTCTGTGTGCACACAGCTACAGGATCTGTACCCATTTTCTCTGTCCAACACAGTGACCTAAGTTGGATAGCAAAGACATTCCCCATTGCAGGTGCATGAGGAAAGTGTTAAAGAGTCCCTGCTTCCTTTTCCTCCCTGCCTTGCTCAGACAAAGCAGCTAAGCTGGACTGCAGAAAGATGGCTGCAGTAGGGAAAAGGTAATAAAAACAGCACAGCTCAGATAAGGTAATAAAATAACAAGAATAATCTTAATAAATATTTGCTGTGAAAGAAAAGAAATTATATTTATTTTTTTTTGGCTTTTCAGTCGTGGGCAAGAGAGAATATAGGTCCTGTCAGGCATCCATCAGCTAGGAGAAGAAAAATACAATGAGCTGATTCAGTTTCTGTCGTGTAATTTATTTTCTTGGCAAACAGATTATTTTCTTTTGTATTTGCTCAATATAGATCGTATCCACCAAAGCAAGTTTCTTTCAAATATCAATGTGAAAAAGCTTATCTATCAGCTGAAAAGTATGAAATAAACACTACCTTAATGTTCAACTTCTTCTGTCTTCTCTTCTGTCTGAAAAATTGCTAAACAGACAAAATCTGCATTCTTTTCAATTTGGAGCTTTAATGAATGTTTAGCTTTAATGAATATCAATACAGAACAGAATTGTAAGCATGAAAGATTATATCCTCTTCCTAGTCTACTTCAGACTTAAAAACCACTCATCACAAATCAGGATGATGTAATGTAGTTCTGCTGAAACATATTAAACTTAGAAAATGAGTTAATTTCCATTACTGACTTATTGGTCTCCGTTTCTCTACCAGATCAACTAGAGAGGTCTGGATTTGCTTAAATGCACCTGAACAATTTTTAAATGATTTAGAGTGAGACATAAATGAGTAAATAAAATATCCACTATTCATTAATAAGATCAGGATTTAGAAAGACTTACAAGTCTTACAAAGGCATATTTTCTTTCTAAGATGCAGAACCATGAGGCAAATCTTAGCAAGCAGGATATGTTGGTTGCATTCAATCACACAACCAATACAAGGAAATCTACCATTGTCCATAAAGATTTCATACTCATACCTGTAGTTAAGTGCCCAGTTTGGGCATCAAAATCAGGCACATTTATATAGAGAATAAACAATCAAGTAGCTGCTGAATGAGCTGCAGACAAGCCTTTAATATGGTTGCTGTGATTCCTACCCTTATTCATGCTTATACTCTGCCATTTCCAGCAAGTTCCACGTATGGGCAAGTAAAAACATGGTTATAGGAACTATTTAAGTGTTTACAAACTGTAAGCACATAAAATTTAGAGTACCTTGATTGTCTACCCATATCTTTAGATTTACACCTATATACAAGTTACATTCATCTATTGGTCACAGAAACACTCCTTGACACATAAGTAACATTGTAACAGTAATGGCAGTAACAGCATCCAACAACAATATTTTTATTTATTACTTTTTAGTATCTATAGAACTGAGTAATAAAAAAGAAACACTCTCTCCTTCCAAGAATTTACCTGAAAATGGTGAAGTTGGTATCCACTGGAGAAGTTTTACAGTAGCACTGTGAATTTACTGCTGTCATACACACAAAATCACAACATGAATAAAGCAAGGACACAAACACAGGACACACTCTTACCAAAGCACAGGGGTCAAGCCTCAGCTATTCTGAATTTTATGAGACAAACTTACTATTTTGGGTGCTTTCCTGAAAACTGCAGGCCAGCAAAGGTGGAAAAAGGTGGCTTGAATATGCACACAGCAGGATTCTCCTCAAAAGCCAACTGAGCTGTTTGACAATACTCTGAAATGAAAAGGTGTGTATGACTACTTTTCACACAGATTCATACTTCCACTTAAACAAAACGAATATTTCTAGCAAATAACTGAGCATTCTAATTTGCCTCACTTTTATTATCACTAATTAAACCCATTTGTTAAAAAAGCTGCAACAGATAAAGGCATATGGAAAAGCTGAAAGATACTAGTCTATTGTACAAGCCAAATATCTTGGCAACATTTACGGAGTTTTGTGCTAAAACCTTGATCTAATTATAACAAAATACAAATATTGTCAAATATTGGCAGCTTCCCTGTGTTCATAAGGAAACATAATCCTATAAAACCAATGTAACACAAGTATTAACATTGAGGCTTTTCCAGTTGATGTCATAAGAACCATTCACAAATGCCCATATGGTGTTAGAAGTCATTAATACTACTAATACTATTTTATTAATTACTAGTTGTGTGAAAGAGCATCAGTTCACAATTCTGGGCCCACTTCAGAACAAACAGGCAAAAACCCCAAATGAAACAAACACACCATGCTTTCCTCTGCCTAATTCTAGTCACCAGAAGGAATAGTACTGTCCAAAAAATTTCAATTTTATCATATTCTTACAGAAATTTCTTTGTAGCACTTCAGGAGGGCAGTCTTGCATACTTGATTGAAACTGAGGAGAAAAACCTGCAACAGTGGTTCCTACCTGTAATTCAGGATGTATGTGTGAGCATGCCTGTATCAACACACACAGGAGACAAGTAAGAGAAAGTAAAAGAAAGTAAGAGCTGTGTGAATGCCAGGAACTCAGGACAAAGATTTAGGCAATTTCATCCCAAAACAACTGTTTCAACAGTTCATTAATTTATTTATTAGTTCATTCATTTATTAGTGGTGGAAGACATTAAAATGCTTTAAGCCACACCTCAGAGTTCTTTATCTATGTTAATGGTTAGCAAAGATTGTCTTTCTGAGAAGGCAGATGACAAGTGGACAGAAAGCCACAATCACTATATGTATTTACCTTACTCTTTCACATATTTCTGCACAAGTGAATCTTAAAACCAGGCATTAAACATCAGAATTTTCTAAATTGGTGCCTAATAACACTGAACATCACACATCACCAAGGACCTGGTCGCTGGATGGCCTTGAAGACAAGGAGAAAACCATGAGCGTTCCTCAAGTTTCCAGGTAGCAGAGAGTAGAGTAAAAGAGAAAAAGTTATAAAAATGACATTGTACTAGTGTGCTACAGAAATAATAATCATTTACCAATGGGGCAAGCAAATCTTTTACCTTGTAGGGGCCTGTATTTGTTGTTCAAATATTAAATAATGAAAAGTTAGACAGTTTTCCATTTCATATCTGTAATATTTTAAGTAGCTATCTTCAGTAAAGCAGCACACAAAGCTCAAGTAATGACCTGAAAGAGCACTATTTTAATGAAATGCCTTTGTAAAGCAATGGGGCGGCTGCTTTTTTAATCAGATTTCATTTCCAAGCCATAATTTTAATAGCTACTTTAGACCCACCCCACTCCCTTAAGGGGGTGTTGGGTTCTGATAAAACCAAAATCGTGAACTTGTTTTCTTCTAAAAGAAAAACATGCTTTAGCAATAGCTATTTCTTTTATTAGTACCCTGCTGGTCGGTTTATTAAGTAGAGTGGGGGGATATATAAGATAAGGGAAATAATTTTGCCTCACACGTGAGGCAATGAATAGGGTTAATCCCCACTCGCCTGTAAGTGCTCAGCGGCGTCTCTCCGTCACCCTCGGGGGTTGACAATTCAGATGGATATAAATTCGGATATAAATTCGGATATAAATTCGGATATAAATT